TGGCTAGGGAAACATAAATATCACCATAGCTGATACGATTGGATAGATTCACGATGGGTTTGTGGAATGATTACTTGATATAACTACCATAGAAAGTTTTCGATTTAGTTAGTGGGTTTTTTCTTATAGGACGAAATGCAGGGCGAAAGCAGAAGCAATTATCGGCTGACACGAAGAGAAATCATTAGTAACACCCTTATCTTTATGGCGGCAGGTTATGAAACAACATCCACTGGTTTGGCTTTTGCCACATATGAGCTTGCTAGACATCCAGAAGTTCTTGAGAAACTACGAGATGAAATTAATCAATTTCCTCTCGACGACAATGAACAGTTCAACGAAGAAACAAAGCAATATCCCGATTATGATGTGATTGCCCAGATGCCTTATATGGATATGTTTATTTCTGAAGTTTTGAGAATGCATCCTATTGGAAATTTTGCTATTCAACGATCTGCTGCACAAGATACGGTTGTTCAAGGAATTCCAATTGAAAAAGGTAATGATAAACATGCTACAAACATTAACGGAAAATAATTATCCTTTTTTGTATCGATATTCTACGAATTTCATCCAATATTAACTTCTCCAACGAATTACTTATATTTTATCTGTTTCAGGTACGTTAGTACATGCTGATATTTATTCCGTTCATTTCAATCATGAACTTTGGGGTCCTGAAGATCCATACGTGTTCTTTCCTGAGCGTCATAAAACAAAACGTCATCCAATGGCATATTTATCATTTGGAGCTGGTCCACGACATTGTATCGGTATGCGCTTTGCACTGATGGAAATGAAATTTCTCTTAGTACAGCTGCTTCGTAAGTATTCAGTTGCGCCTGGTGAACATTTCCACAGCAAATTTAACGTTCGGGAAAAAACAGTTATCGCACCCGAAGAAATTTGGATTAAGCTGGTACAAACAAGTGCTTGAAAGACAATAGTATTGCGCTTATAAATCTGTATCTACACTTTTCTCAGAACATTTATTTTATAAATATGATCGGAAGTTTTCAACAATATTTAGAAGTTGCATGACGAGTTCATCACTGCAAATTTCACTGAAATCTATTGGAACTAAGAAAATCTGTTGAACTTGAGATTAAGAAGCTGTAGTTTGGATGTGGGTGTGGGTGTGTTTGAAAATAGGTATAAAAGAATCAATAATTAGAAATCTTTCCATTTGTCCACGGTTGTATGGATGTCAAGTTACTCAAAGGAAACCACAGAGATATGTTTTAACAAATACGAACAATTTGTTGAAGTAGATCATTAAATAAAAGCAGGACTCGAACCCATATCTTCCGATAACCGGTCGGCTATTCTACCAATCGAACTATCTGATTTTCTGTCTTGAATGAAGAGAACGTATAATCATTCAAGTTCGAAAAGATAAATGAAACCTTTCTTAGGACAATAATCTTTATAAAAAATAATAGATGAATTCTTGTTGCTGTACAAGTAGAATAAAATCTGATTCTGAGACAAATAATCTTTAGATATAGCAAGACAGAACTCTTATCCACGATTGAAATAATTATTTGAATTCTTTAAATTACTTATTTAAACTCACCCCTCACACCCTCACCCCCAGTAAAATTCTGTTAGATTTAGAATTTTCAATCTTATAATGCAGTATATCTGTACCACTTGATAATTCATTCTGTAATTAGAATCGAAATTTTCGAATGATGGTAATGTTTATAATAAAATACACTCATACCCTCTAAGTTATGGAGAGTCCTGAAGAATGTTCTATTTATTTTAAGTAAATAACACGAAATGCGTCGACGACGTTAAACTACATTTCTTATTAACAAGCACTGTATTATGATTTAATTACTATTTAATCATTGTTTGACATTGTCGAGTACTGAAAATGAAGAGTTAAAGTCCAGCAAATTGAATTTATTTCTCTTAAGCAAAGATACATTAATTTGTTATTTACTTACTGTGTTTTACCCTCTAGTTTGTAGAGAATTTCAAGTGTTGTCTTTTGATAAAAAGAATGTTTTTATCACAGAGAAAGAGATGAGAAATCTCTAAAATACTACAAGAAACGTTGTTTGTTAGACACCACTTCGAACAAAACCAAAATATTCTTGTTTTCTTATCAATGTAAGCGAAGCAAATAACAGTCTATAGACCACAAACTTTTTTTAAAATATAGTTATTCTTTCATACGCACAAACGTTGATTGACGATTATGAAAGAAAAAAATTGATTTTCTCCCTTCTCATTTTATCAAACAGGATCAAATCACCATTTATACCCTGTTTATAATTGAAATTCTTAAATCTCAGAGTGATACTGTGTTTTATGGATGTAGCACCTAGAAAAACAGCCGCGACCAGTGTCGACCCGACTGAATTAGGGGTGTGAGAGTGGGTGTCAATCGAATATTTACATATCGACTTCTCCCACCCCTCACCTATACCCTCAACATAGTGTCCTGTGACCATAGGGTTAGGCTGAACTTCCTTTCATCTTTTGCTAATTTCATATTCTCATGAAAGTTTTCGAAGAAATTAGATCAGAAGCTATATATACTTAAAACCACATACTGGTTCACAAATGATTCTGTCGACGATTTGTATTGGTGGTGCTGTGGGTGTTTGGCTTGTCAAACTTATAAACGATAGTTTTCAAAACAGGTAAGAATTTTACTACATCTAAGAATGATACATCCTTACCAATTTGCCGGACTAATTTGATATTTGGATGGAAATTGTTGGCGTTATCTAACATTTCATTGATTTTGTTCAGTGGTTGATTCGAAGTAAAGAAGATATCATCGATATACCTATAAAAGATAAATAG